GAAGAACATATTAACTAATCATAGTTGACTTGTCTGCCAACTAGCTAGCTTAGCTACAACTATGTAAACTTAAATCTTATAATTCCTTCTATTATTGGCAAGTCTATGGTAATCCTTGATTCGTGGGCAACCACTCGTTTTATTTTGTATTTTTTATGACGTTTTAATTTATATGTTAGTAGCGTTTTATTAATTAAATTTCCTTAGAATTTTATTCATAGAAAATTGTAAAAATAATATATGAGCAAGAACATTGTGAGAATTCATACATATGGAGTGAAAGAAGTACCTATTGAACGCATCATAATTTGGTGGATCATCACCATGTATTGAATATGGTTGACATTATTGAATTATGTATTTTGTGCAACAAAGACCTTGACATATATAGCTCATAGGCAAAATTTGTTTTTGAGTGTAAAAGGGGTAGAGAAAGATAAAATGCCCGTGAATATTTAGTGTGGAGAGGCATTAAATTTAAAATAAATAAATAAAATTCTTGTATGAAGATTTGAACATAAGACATTCAACTCAAACTCCCACACTTTATCTCTATTGTTAATGAATTACCACTATGACAAAGCTAATTTAATGTTATCTCTTGTATTGAAATTGTATTTAACCTATAAATTTACATATTTACCTAAATAAAATTAAAAAAATAAAAATCAATTTTTGATGGGGGCGGTGCCACACAGGCCCCTTAATAATAGAGGTGTTCAAAATTCAGGCCAGGTCGGGCTTTACTAAGAAAACTCATCCCCAAACCCGGCCCGTTAAAAAGTGTCGGGCTTGTTGGGGCTAAATGGGCTTTTCGGGCCATATCGGGATTTTTTTCAACTAAAATCGTGTTTTTTAGGGCATGTTCTGATAGAGTGAACTGAACTGAATATTTTACGAGAGAAGGAATTAAGAACTGAACTAAACTGAATTGAAAATAATCTGAAGAGAATCGACCCTTAGCTTGCCCAAATCCGCCCGTTTTTCAGGAAGATCAGGCCGAGCTTGCGGGTTGGGCCATAGTTGATCACATGTACTTGATAGATCCGCCCCTGCATGTGATGAGGAGATCAGGTTGAGCTTGCAAGAAAAGGACCTTTTTATATATAGTGAGTTGTTTGTAAGAAAGAACCTTATATTAAAAAAAAAAAAAAAAAAAAAAAAAAAAAGAGAGAGAGAGAGAGAGAGAGATGGGACCTTTTGACAAAATTCGGCTATAACCCTGAAAAACCACCTCCACCTCGCCGAAATCCCACCCTAACCCTCAAAAACCGCCACCACCTTGCCTAACTCCTACACCGACCCTCGAAAACCACCTCCACCTCACTCAAATCCTACACCGAACCTCCTAAAAACCATCTCTACCAGGCTGAAATCTCACCCCGGCCCTCAAACTACCTCCAATCCTTCACCTCGCTAAAATCTCACACCGACCCCCGAAAACCACCTCCGCCACGCCAAAATCCATCAAAAGGTCCCATCTCGTAATGTTTTTTCTTGAAATAAGGTCATATTTCACAACTTTTTTTTGAATTAAGGTCTCAATCTGCCACTTTTTTTTATATAAGGTCATTTCTTGTAAATTTTCCTAAAAGAAAAGAAAACATAATTCAACATAATGTGGAGTATCCATTTTTGGTAAGTGCACATAAATCTGAAACAGAGGTAGTATATCATATGACTTTGAGTTCAAATATATACATCCTCTGTTTTTTTTTAGTTGATATCATTTGACTTTTATACTATTTATAAACTGTACTTTGACTAAATTTTGTGATTTTATAGCTAGCTACGATAAATCATAGTCAAGTGAGATCTTGTTTGAATTGTCTCGATGTATATTTTATTAATATCATTTTTTAATATAATTTTACAATGTTGAGAATTAAAGATACTAGTTGTTAAAATTGTGCGTTGAAAAGCTTGATAAAAGAAAGATGTCAATTAAATAAAAATGTAGGTAGTATGTTCTTTGTATTTGAATAAGATGATGGTTAGTTGAGGCCAAAAATATGTTTTATATTCTATCACGCCCCTTCACACGAGAGTTCGTTGGGCTTGAAGTGTGGATGCATGATGAGCTCTTTTCATACCCATCATATGAAATAATCCACTTAAAATTAAGGGGTGGATGAAATTTGAACTTATAATAAACTTAACCAAAAACTTAAATTGCTAGATGAAATCCAAAAATATGTTTTATAATACTTTCACTCCGACACAACACAACACAAAAGGATTAAAGTGTTAAAAGTCAACTTTGATCATGTAAGAATGATAACTACTCATTTGTCTATCTAAAATTGCCACATTTTTAAAATTGTTTTTTGGGTTTGCTCCATGGTCATGAAGGAGTTGGGCTTTACGCTTACGTTCATTACTTGTTAGTTTAATTTTTTGGTTTTCGTTGGGACAATTTTTAAGAAACGAAGTATAGATTAGACTACGCAGGGAAGTGAATGATAAAAGTTCGTTGATGTTGAAATGGATGTGAATGAATATATGATAGATGTGTAGCCGTCTAAATCTAAGAGCACCAGCATCAATGCCTTTTACAATCCTTTCCGTGGCTTTTTGGTGTCCTTTTCCAATCCTGATGGATGCTATTACTTGGGAAAGATAACTGTTAGGGAAAGGATATTGTAGTATTCTTTCTATGGAAAGGAAATCTCGCCTCGGCCCAAGTGCCATGTTAATTCAACAATCACAAACAAAAGCATACAACGGCTATATTGGAAATCATCCAACGCTCAACTTGTTGACACTTGTCAACATCTTGTTTCTTTATTTTTTTTTGCTCCAAAATATTATAACGGCTATAATTTGCAAACGGTAACTTATTTTTGAAATCCGAAAACACCAACGGTCATAAAATTTTTTTGTCTATAAAATGAGTATAAATTTGCTATATTTTCACAAAATTTCAGTTTCACTTGTACAATACTCTTAAACACAAAATTATTCTAATCTCCATATTTTCAAGTTTATTTTTCTCCATTTCACTTCCAATTTCTTAGAGTCTTCAATATGGATCGTAATAATTCTAATTACGGTCGTAACCCGAATTTTCCTAACAATTCAAACTTTCAATTTAACCAATCTAATCCTCATGTTGACCCTAATCTGTTGAGTAATCCTCAAATTCAAGCTGCATTTTTTCAATGGTGTAGTAGTCAACCAAGACCAACAAATTTCAATAATATTCCACCAATACAACCAAATTTTCCTCATAATTCCCAATCCTATCAACAAGCTTTTGGTAATACCCCTTTTTTCCCTATATCAGAACATTTAACTCAAAATATGAATCAATTTCCAGGTGGAGTTTGTAGTAGCAATGCTACTCCAATAGAGTTAAGTGGTGAACATGTTGAAGAATTAGCGGGAGCACAACATCTTGAAGAGATTGACAATGCTGAAGTCGAAATTGTTCCAGAAGTGCAACTCAATACATCTGCACAAAGGAAAAACCAAGCATGGAGTATCGCCGAAGACAAAGCTCTTGTATCAGCCTATATAAATGCAGGAGGCGATGTGGAGAGGGGAACCAAGACCAAGAGAAGCGGGTTATGGGCAAAAATTCACAACCAGTACGAAAAGGCTAGAGCTGAAAATCTCAATGAGATTAAGGTAAGAAACGTTAAATCTTTGCAAAATCGATGGGATCACATAAATGAACATGTAAGTATATGGGTTGATGCCTACAGTTATCATTTTCGAACTAAGGGTAGTGGTGAATCTGAGCAAAATTCGGAGAGATTCGCTCACATAGATTACAAAGCAACTAACAATAAGATGTTTTGTTATTTGCATTGTTTTGCAATTCTGAGGAAATACCCCAAATGGGATCCCTCCTTGTCCAAAGTTCAGTCCGATATGTTACCGGGTGGTCAAGCATCTACAGATAGTGGGGGGAGCGGTAAAAGATCCCAACCCGATTCACAGTGTGAGGTTGGCGGAAGGGCTAAAAGACCTCTTGGCATAAAACAGACAAAGATGAAAGGTAAAGCATCAAGTACTTCGTCAAGTGTAAATCTTGACTCTTTAAATACAAATTTTAATGACATGGGAGAGAAATTGGGTCAATTGGGAGAGCGACTACTTGATCAGATGAGAGAACGAGATGAAGAACAAAAGGCCCGGGTAGAAGAAAAGAAAAGGCAGAAGGAGGAGGCCATGAAGTTCAGAATGTTAGAAAGGTTAATGCAAAAGCCCGTTCTTGATGACAAGGAATTAGCAATGTATAACAAACTGAGGGACGAATTTAGTAGTAGGTTTTCGCTTTAATTTCATTTTAGTATTTGCAATGTTTGTATTTTAATTAAGTATTGTAAGGTACGCAAGTTATTTTTTTTTTTAAATTGTTTGTGCTACTAGTAATGTTGATGTTTATGTAGTGTTGTTATTGTTGTTTATGTATTAAATTAATATTAGTGTATTTTAATTTGTTTTTAAAACTATGATGTCTCTTTTACCTTTTGACAAGACTCATGCATGAATTGGTAAAAAAATTGACCTTACAAAATTCTGCATGCATTGGTCATAATTCTCACCATACAATCCTTATCTTATCCATATCTTATGTGCACCAATTATGTTTTAACAAAATCTTATCTTCTGACCAACAATATCCTATTTTTGTCTATTTAAAGTACATGATTTCTATCTTCTAGTGTCACAAACAAACACACCAAAAATAAAACACCAAACACAATATGAGCTTAGATTCAATCTCTTCAAGTTCTTCAAGCTCTTCCTCCTCAAGTATAACTGATAAAATTTATGATCACATGGTCATGAATTTTATAAATGAGAGTCAACGTTTAGTTGCGATGCAAAATTCAGTGCTTAATTCATTACAACCTGAAAAGCAAAAACGTTCGAGAAAATGAAGGGTAACTGTGCCTAGAAATCTTGAAGCGGCTCACGACAATCTAGTTGCAGATTACTTTAGTAATCAACCGGTATACAATGATACCGTATTTCGAAGGAGGTTTCGTATGAGGAGACCCCTGTTCCTTCGCATTGTGGACACATTAAGTGCAAGTAATCGCTATTTCCAACAACGCCCCGATGCTACCATGCGTCTTGGTGCTTCACCCCTTCAAAAATGCACCGCGGCTATACGTATGTTAGCTTATGGTTGTTCAGCTGATCAAGTAGATGAATATCTAAAGCTTGGTGAAAGTACTGCTAGAGAATGTCTTTCACAATTTGTCGATGGAGTTATTGCTCAGCTTGCAACTGAGTACCCCCGCAAGCCAACAATGGAAGATATCCAGCGTCTTCTAAGAGAAGAGGAGGATAGAAACTTCCCCGGCATGCTAGGAAGCATTGATTGCATGCATTGGGTATGGAAAAATTGTCCAGCTGGATGGAAAGGAATGTATCAAGGCCGATCTAAAACGGCCACTGTTATCTTGGAAGCGGTTGCATCTAGGGATTTATGGATTTGGCACGCCTTCTTTGGGACTCCTGGGTCGTGCAACGATATTAATGTACTACAACGTTCTCTTGTGTTTGATGATATAATAAATAATCGTGCTCCACAAGTTCTGTTCACAGTTAATGGAAACACTTACACAAAAGGATACTATCTCACCGATGGGATTTATCCAAAGTGGTCGACATTTATAGATGCGGTTACTGCCCCTCAAACAGCTAAGGATACGTTATTTACTGAACGTCAAGAGAGTGCGAGAAAGGATGTTGAGCGTGCTTTTGGTGTGTTACAAGCTCGTTTCACAATAATCAGGAAGCCTGCTTTGGCATGGAGTGTAGATCTGTTGTGGAAAATTATGATGACTTGCATCATTATCCACAACATGATTGTTGAAGACGAGCGTGATACATATTTAAATTATAAGGATCCACTCGAGTTTGCCGATGAACAGCCTGAGAATATGTCGGGGTCGTCCTCAACTAGGAATGCAACAACATTCACCGTAACTCCCGGACAGTATGATCCAGATAATTTCGGTAGATTGATAGCTTCGAGAGGGGAAATTCGTGATAGAGACGTCCATATGGCTTTGAAGAACGACTTGATCGAGCATTTATGGGCACAGTCTATGAGGTCCGATGAAAATTAAACATTTCAGTTATTTTTAAACTTATGTTTGTTATTTTCTTTGCTATTTTTATCAACGTAATTCATGTTTTTTTTATTCGTGTCGTTTAATCAATGTATTTCATGTTTTTAATCAATGAATTTTATGTTTTTGAATTCGTCTCGTTTAATTAATGTGTCGGTTAATAGAACGATCTATTATTAATTATTATTAACAACATTTTCAACAATAATAATTATTAAGTATATTAATAAATATATGTAATTTGAAAAAGGAATAAATGGTGGGGTATATGTAAGTAGGAGAGAGAAAGTGAGAAAGGATACTATTGATGTTGGAAATTTTAAAGGGAAAGGATGAGTAAAAGGATGGAAATAGTGGGAAGTAATGTGGAAGAAAGAGAAAGTGATGTGTTAAATGTAGGAAAGGAGAGAGAAACCGGGAAAGGATATAAGTATCCCCAACACTAATGATGCTCTAATTAAACTTAATATGCTTTTGTTTGTTCCCTACCTTTTTGCCAACTAGGTTGTCGGCCTTTTTAATTCATTTTCTTCATCCTAAATTATCGGATATTAAGAGGAGAATGTGAATTTGTCAACCACATCACCAACTTAATCTATAAAGACAACAAAATAAAAGGTGTCAAACATGAAGAAAATGACTAGTTATTATTTTATTGACATTGAGGAAAAGGACTATATTTTTGCTGGGGAGCTATAGATTTCCAAAGAATCCAAACAAATGGCCGTCTCAAACGCCGTTGCGTTGATTACTTGTGGTCTTGTGGATATTAAAATCCCTCCGATTTTGTTTATTTATTTGTTTGTTTTTTTTAAGGAAATTTTGACAATTACCACCTTCTGTTATGTCCATTTTAGCAATTACCACCTTGTATTTTTTTTTTTTTTGAAAATTACCACCTTCTACTTTCAAAAACATCAAAAGTTACCACCTTCTTGCCCCCCAACTACCACATGACGTCATTTTGTGCTCATTCTTTCCCTTCTCTCCCTATTTCCCTCACATTACTCATTCTTATTTGGATTCTCATCTCCCCTTTCACTTTTTTCCCTCAAACCACCAATAATTGTTCGTCAATTTTGATTTGGAGGAGTGAATTGTAGTGTTTTTGATTGTTTGGGGGAAAAAAGTGAAAGGGGGGATGAGAATCGAGTTAGGAATGAGAAATGTGAGGGAAATAGGGAGGAAAGGGAAAGAATGAGACCAAAATGACGTCATGGGGTAGTTGGGAGGCAAGAAGGTGGTAACTTTTGATGTTTTTGAAAATAGAAGGTGGTAATTTTCAAAAAAAAAGAAATACAAGGTGGTAATTGCTAAAATGGACTAAACAGAAGGTGGTAATTGTCAAAATTTCCTTTTTTTAACAAGCAGTTACACTCAGACACTCTAATGTTGTTTAGCCGTATGATAAATCTTGCATAAATTTTTAATTAAGGCGGACTTTCGCTGAATTATTGTAAGACGGGTTAAATTACCTTTATGTACTATGCCTAAAAATAAAAAATAAAAATAAAAACCTTTATGTGCTACAAAAAATTACCATCTTTCTAGCATATTTTTACTCTTTAAAAACATTTATAATGTATTAGATTAATTATATTAGCTTTTATAGTATGTATCCATTAGAGATTGCACATTAAAATACAATCAAACTAAAAACTCAATACGAATTAAAAGTTATCCTTAAACGAATTAAAGTTATCATTTGTTTTTCTTATTTTACATTGGAGGAAGTTGTTTTTGAGTTTTAATCACTTTAATTTCTTTTTTTAGAAATTATTGAATTAAGAATTATTAAATTGGATTATTACAGTAGATTTTTCTTAATTAATAGTGATGGAATGTTTGTTTGGTACAAAAACATTATAATTGCCGTAATATATCGCATAAATACTTGTACAGTTGTACCTTCTATGTTCTACCATTATTTTATACATAAGTTGTTTTTTTTCATACATTTTAAATGGTAATACTATTTTTTTTTTCCTTGTTTCTATTAAAGTCATTCAATGAACATATTGCTAGAGATATAAGATACTAAAAAAAACATGGGAAAGTTTAGTTGTGTGATTGATTTTTCCATTTCAATATCAAAAAATCATTTTTTATCAATATGGAAAATATATCAGATATATTTCATATCGGCTAGAAAAATAATGAACACCATATATATCTTTCTTTTTCAAATACTTATCAAATAGATCACCTTTATCCTATTGATACATCATAAAATCAATAAACAATTTTTGCTGAAATAGACAATTTTACATCATATTTAATTGTGCTACTAATAATCATTTCTAGTACGTGTCTAGGTAAAGTTTGATAGGAGGAAAACTAAATATATCAAATAACAAAGATCGTTTTCAATTTAATAAATTAATAACAAAGATGTCCATTTCCTTGACCAGTGTATCTAGACAGTTGTCTCTATTTTTCAACCACTAATAAAATTTATAAATAAAAACAAAAAAAAATAAAAGAAAAAAAATATTGTATTTATCAAACATAGGAACCTTTGATTACAGATCATTATTATGCACAAAAAGCAGAACATCTTCTGCTAACAAAATCTTTAGCCAAAGATTAAAATTAATATCAATTATCAATATCCAATTTTTATTGTACAATTTGTCAAAAATTTTAACTTCATAAAAAAAGGCTCAAATATTTCTTGCAAAGTTTGACAATGAATGAACCATTTCTCCCTCAAGATGTAAGGGTGTCTCAAGAAACAAGCTCGCCTCGAGCCAGGCAACCATTCCCATCGGCCTACATTGATCGTGGTTCACCAAGATCGTCGCAATCTCTAAGATCACTTCTTCTTTTCAATGATGCAACCCACCCCCTCCTCGCAGCACCACGAGTTAACTCCATCAGAAGAAAATTATTAGATCGTCAATCCACAGCTAGACTTCTGAAGGATGACAGCACATTTCCGTGTCCTCCGCCTATTACAAGTCCCTTAGACAAAGATCTTATTATCAACTTCGACAGGTCATGTTCTGCTCCTCCTCTGTTCACTGATGAGAAAGGGCTCGTGCCACTCGAGTCCTTCGATCACAGGCATCGAACAAAGAAGGCTTCACGTATACTGCAGCTAGCTTTGGTTGGGTTGATGTTATATATATCTGTTGGGGTGACAGTATTCACGTTAACCCACGACACGTTTAAAGGTCATAGGACAGATAATAAGCTTGTGGATGCCCTGTATTTTACAGTAGTAACTTTGTCTACCATAGGATATGGTGACATAATACCGGCTTCTAATTTTACTAAGCTCTTCACATGTATATTCATTCTAGTCGGGTTTGGGTTTATCGATGTTCTGCTGAATGGTTTGGTCACTTATGTTCTTGAATCACAGGAGGAAGTTTTCCTCGACGATACCAAGTTTAACAAGATTATAAGAGACTATGTGATTGACAAAAAGAAAGGTAGAATGAGGATAAGGATTAAGGTTTGTTTGGCTTTGGGTGCTGTTTTTGTTTTCCTTACTATTGGGACGATTACAGTGCATGTTTTCGAAAAGTTGAATTGGGTTGACAGTTTTTATCTGTCTGTAACATCTGTTACAACAGTTGGTTATGGAGATCATGCCTTTAAGACTGTAGGAGGGAGATGCTTCGCGATTATCTGGCTACTAGCAAGTACATTGGCAGTTGCTAAGGCGTTCTTGTATCTGACTGAGTATAGGCTCGAGAAGAGGAATAGAAGGATGGCGAAAGATGTACTTAAGAAAAGAATGACTCTCGGAGATCTGATGGAGGCTGATATAGACCATGATGGAAGTATCAGGTAATTTTACTTCAGAATTCTTCTTTAGACTGACTACAATCAGTACTTTTTTTCTTTAGTCTTTTAACATTCTGATTCTAGGTCATTCTTATATTATACTTGTGTGTGAGCTTAACAAACGCAGCAAAGGAATAACTAAGATGCAAAGAGTTTTAAAGTGTTATAAGAAGTGCCTAAGATTTATGCTAGACATTACAGTAAGAAGAGATGGTAAAGGGGTTTTCGGATTGGATTGGTCGAATGAAAGTAATTACAACTAGAAAATCATAGCTATAACATGATTAAATCTTACGATAAGGGTAGAATGACTGTCAGCTAGAGCAGCATGTTCTAAGATTTCTAGTCATATCCCTTCAGTTAGCAAGCAGCAAAGCAAGTCGAGTTTTGTGGCATAGCTGAGGTCTGTGAATCTTGAACAAGGTTCGCCAGTTTCAACTAACAGAAAATGATGGCAAACGCGAAACAAGGTCATGTTGTACAGCATGCAATGCTATGCCATGAAAACGACTAATCGTATAATGTGTACACCATGAAAGATTATTTCGTATACCCCATGAGGAGAAAATAATTAAAACAAGTCCCTACTACTTTTTCGTCTAACAAGATAGGAAAACTTGCAAGAGTTACTACTATAGAGTATAGATGCGTCACTAAATGTTTGGAAAGGATTGAAAATTTGCCTACTTACATTAAAAATTTCTAGACCCGCCACTACTTCTAACAGTTATTTTGGTGTTTGCAGTAAAGCTGAGTATGTTATATTCAAGCTTAAAGAGATGGGAAAAATAACAGACAGTGACGTAGAAGAGATCTGCAAAGAATTTAATGCTCTAGACTACACCCACAGCCGAAGAATTGCAATCACTGATCTCGCAGGGGGTGACTCAGTATCAAGCTCTGAAGATGAACATGGTGAGGGAAGCCATGGCAAAACATGAAATTGCTTCCTGCTTTTAGGGCCTCGTCTTGCTTTCTCATTTGGGGTTAAAGCACTAGCATGCATTTCCAATGGCATATTGATTGTGTAATACATGAAATTGTTTCTGGGTGAGGTTTAGCATCGTGAGTCGTGAGAGATGATGAAGGGATAGTTTCCTGCTCAAGTGATTTTCACGATTTTGTCCCATCAAAAAAGAAAATCTGTTTGTTAATATATGATGCAATACAATACAATACTTTCTCCTCAAAACTTCAGACTTCAGGTGCAATAGCAGAAGTAAATGCAAAATGTTGCAGTAAATTGTGCATACTTTAATAATTACCACTCAAACTTGAGGATGACGGTCCATTTTCACTTGAGGGGCAAAAGCTAAAATGTTTTCTATATGTACAGAATGTCAAAAAATATATTGGACAAGCATGATATTGCTGAAAATTTGAAATAAGTCGTGAAATGAAAAAAGAATTCTAATAAGCTTAGTCCAGAGTAGCAATAATCAAGAAAATTCTAAACGAAAACAATACGACCATATATAAGAATGGAGATGTTTATTATATTGCAGTAAGCCAGTAACCCTTACAGATTTGTAAGGTGCGTGATTGAAGTGCAAAATTTTCGAAACATTTTCACCTACTCTCAGTGAAGACTACAACCATGAATTATACGAGAAAACATACAAGTAGAATCCAGCACTTCAGGCTTGATGGAAAATCCAAGAGATATCATTGAAATATTAATTTATCTCGACCACAGCCCTTTGTAAGCAAGGAAAATGGCGCATCAAGAGTTGGCAGGCTTAGAGATGCCACAATTTAGAGAGGGAATTCTTCATTCTGCCAACCCTCCTCAGGCAAAAAATCTAACTAAATCAGAGACCGACCTGTAGACCACAAATGCATGTATTAGGCAAACTCACAATTTGAAATAGAATAGCATAGCAAGAATTAAAAAATTGAAATAAACACAATTATTCTTAAAAAAGTGTATCCATTCAATTATCCTAGCACCAATTCACCCAAATCCCAAACAACTGATTATAATTATCATAATCATACCCGGCAACCATAATGGCGACCTAATATTCTAACTTAATAGAGTAAATAAAAAAAGAAAAGTGAAAAAAAGATTTAGGAGAAAACACACTTGCCCACACTAAAAATCCTTGACAAACATTATGATTAGAATATCCGCCTTTTCCCTATAAATCAAATCATTCACATACAGAATTTGGAGGACGAAAACTCCAAAATTCCAGCAACATATAGAGTTAAGATATATAAACCCTTGATGTTTATGACATGCAAAGAGAGAATCATCATTTGTAACAAGTCATATGAAAATCTATAAATAGGAAAATAAGTAAATCAATACCAAAGTAGATCTAACAGAGAATAACTCAAAGCATAAATTATTAAATTTATACTTGAAATTTTTTTAACTTGGCTCCAACTCCATAGGTTTCAACATCTCCACAAAGTTTTCATGAATAGAAGACTTTACATGCAACAATGGTAAATGAGATCAACAATTTGATAACCCTCAAATGTCAAAATTTAACCAAAACCAGTCAAAAGAAACAGATAGAATATTTACATCATAGGCAATTCCAAAAGCAACCCTTGAAAAGAGAGCTCTTACATAACTGGAGGCTACCATGACTTAAAGTATAAAGCAAAGTTTAAACAAGCTAAAAACAAATTGATAAAGTACGGGCTTAGGCACTTAGCACCAGAAAACAGTTGATTGATGCCCCAACAAGAATACTGAAAACTTTTTAGAGAAGAGGAAACAAAAGAGTTTTTAATAACCCCAAAATAAAATATCAACAAAAATAAATCATCAGTAATGCTACAAATATATAGCTCCCTCATACACAATGATCAGATAGTCATATGGCTTAATCCATATAGAAAGCTTCCAAACCAAGTACTCCAACACAACCTCCTAAGTAAAATCCACCATCAGACTCTAATATATCCCCATCATACTTCAAACAAAACCCAGATTGTGGGTCAGATTTACATTGTGCTAAAAGCACCAATTTTCTTTTCTCAAGAAAAAGAAACACAATTATCAGATTTATCACCAAAGTTAAAGATTCAAGTATTGGGGATTTGGGCTATGTTCCTTTTGGCCAGTGTGCACTGTGTACAGTGTGTTCACAACTCAAAACCATTGGCAGGTAGTGTAGAGACAAAATGTAAACAGAGGTGTAAAAAAGTAATTAATGCAATAATCATAATCCAAGAAACAAATGAATGCCCATATGAATCTTTAGCATATTAAGGCATTGAAACAATGATATATACCATGCCAAGCAAAAATAAGAGACTATCCGCATCAAAAATTCTGTATTTTGTATTGTATTAAGGCAGTACGGAGAATATCATAGAAGTTGCTCTCATATCACTTCATTCTCTTATAACTAACATTAAACTCCTGTACCCCACAAACAGTTGCTCCCTTTCATTTCCAAATCTCTGCTCCTATAAATTACTTACACAGTCTAATTGACGTCTTACAGAAATAGATAGGCTATAACCTATATTGGCTATTTATCCTTCCCGCTTTTTATAAACCATCATACCTACATAACATTTATATACATAGGAGGTTAGCCACTCAACCCATTAATCATTACATACAATATGTACCATCTGAATAAACCCAAATCCATTGCTTGATATAGTTAAGTATTCTATTTCTATTCCCAATTCAGCAGGCAAGTTTTCAAGTTCAATCCACCGTCTTTCAAAAATCTAAAACGGATTAACAATATACCAGAGAAAGGTATATATTATCCACAAACATTAAGACCAGCTCTAAATTGATTAATTTTAACCCATCTGAAATATATAATTGCATATACTCACAAGAACTGATAGGGCAATGGATAGATAACACAAAACTACTACAAGACATAAGAGTAGTTTTATAAAACTATATTGTATCCTGGATAACGGGAGGCTGGAGCAATGTACCTATAACAAATGAGTACTGTTTAGTAATTTTACCACACAAGTTTTAGTTCATATTTAATTATTTATTGTATTGATTCATATCTTACCAATTTTTTCACAAATGGAGCATATATACTGTCATCACTAGAATTTTAATTACTTTTTTCCTTTGACTCATATGGGGGTAAGAGATTGGAAAATTGGAACAGAAAAAACAACTGGTTGAGTTGATAGTACTTGCACCATATATAGATAATATCATAATACAGGATACAATAAAGATGTATTTAGGGAAACAAACACATAAGAGGCTTATATGGAGTAAACATACAATGTCACATCCACCCATTTTCTATAAGGTGCTCTTACTGAAAAATTCCTGTTTTTTCACTTGGATATTCCTTTAGCCTTATCTAAACACATTAGAACTTAATTTTGCTCACCTACCACCTATATTTATTAATAATAAAATGAACTTGGTTGCCATTATCTAGACCTTTTCAAGCTTAATGGTACTTGCCTTACTCCCTTTGTTGCAAATTAGTTTACCTTCCTCAAAATGGTAAAATGTTTAAAGAAAAAATATGCATGGGCGGGCAAATTTAAAGATAACATCTCTAAAAAAAAGGTAAATGCATAGGGCATAACAAAACTGCCCCTCCACTCCATATTTCTCAGTCTACACCCCCACCTTTTTAACAGATATTTTCTGAAAAAATTGCAAATTTGTTACCCCTTGTTTAAATGAAAACAGTGGTAGTCCTTTCTAACTCCTATTTCCAACTCATCACAACACCCACCTTCTCCAGCAACAATCTCAAGAATATGCAAATCTGCTCCCTTTCTCCAGAAAATTACGCTAGCTACCTTGTCTTATCCCTTAATTTATATCAACTTTTCCAATAAAGCCATCACCCCCGCTCCCACCCCCTACCCACCAACCATTGAAAGAGAACTTCCACCTTTTGAAAGTTACACTGATCGAGCCAACAAAATCATTTTTTTTTCCTGCTTTATTTCTGCTTATAGCATAGCACCACCCCACCACAAATCCTCACAATGGATAAAATCCCAATTACTAGTTGTCCCCAAAAGCTTTCAACCCTTTTCCCCTGTTAAATGTTTGGGAACAAAAAAAGGCAGCAAGGAAATGAGGAATGTTGCAGGCAGCAGTGATGACATGCTGGTGAAAATTCCAATGGAACAAATAAAAGAGGAGAGGAGTGAGTGTGTGAGTGTGTGTGTGTGTGTGTGGGGGGGGGGGGGGGGGGGCTGCATGATGACATATTGGGCCTGGCAGCTCTTGCAGAGTGATTTGATGTCTGGTGAAGAGGGGAACGGAAGTAGAGAGACAGTTGAGGATTGATGGTGCTCATGCTCAAAAGAAATAAAAGGAGGAGAGAGAGAAAGGGGGTTAGGATTGCAGGCTGAAAGATAGAGGGAGGGTTAGGTTGCGGGCAGAGAGAGAGAGAGGCGAGAAGTTGACAGACAGAAATATTTGCATTGATAGTTTAATCTTGCAAGTAACATTACTTAAATATGTTAAGGTTAGGTGATATGGAATAACAAAAGTTGGTTAAGTGGACACTAATTAGAATGGAGCATTAGTCAAATCCATTTTCTCATCAATACCCAGTTAACTGAAGGATGTATAAGCTAGATTGCCAGAATATGAATTTTCCAAATTTTTAAGAATCAAAGTTAGGAATTCTCTAAGCTCAAAATTTTTAAGTACTAAATCAACCTTTATACAATACAGATATGTGCACCTCAGAACACTAGAACAGTAAGTATATCCCCCAAAAAAGGTGGAAGAAAGTAGAAATCAGCGCTTAATGATGAGTAAAAGTTTCCATTTCAGCTCTAGGTCAAATTCTTCCAACCATGAGTATTTGAAGGAACGAGACCAAGTACTTCAGACCTTTGGAAACCTTAAACCAGCTCAACATAAAAGACCAAGCAAAACTTTTAAGTCTTAAAAGCTAAGTAGAAAAATGAATCCAACATTGTGTGGTACATCTCATGGTACATTTGTGAACCTCAAAACCCATGACCAATGGATGACCTTAACAACAATCTCAAAGAAATTATCAATTACAAGCTAGTGCCTATGCTCCCATCTTCACAAGATTTTCTAACTCTTAACCACCAAAGTCAGAATACAAAGATTAAAGCCCATTAATTAAACATGAGCAAAGGAAGCATATTTTTCCAGCATTAACTACTCTCCAGCCACACCTGTCTTCAAAAGAGAAACCAGTCACAGAGTTGCTACTAAACACTAGCATCGCCGATCCCATATATATGTCCAAATTCGTTTAACAAACCCAAAAACAAACTTCTACACTATCAGTTCAAAGAGAACAATAGCTAATAAGTAATAACGCCAATTACCCGATAACATAAACCAAGGATCTAATGGAGAACTAAGCTACATTAGTACTGCAATCAACCAATTACTGCAGAAATTCATACTCTAATTGCTTAAAATGACATTCTTTCCAATCAACAATGTACCTAAAGTACTCTTAAAATAAACCCAACAGCAAAACCACCTTTAACCCTCCCAAAAACACATAAAACAACCCAAATTCAACAACAAAAAAATACATATAACAATCACAATCAATACAAAGCTTCACCAATATAATGAATTTCAACAAAGATGATATTATTTATCAATTCTTACCTCACTCCATGATCACTTTCGCGCCAATCGCCTTCATCTTATCAATAATCTTTTCCGCATCCTCCTTCGAAACCCCGGTCTTCAACACCGCCGGAGCCTTCTCCACCAGCTCTTTAGCCTCCTTCAAACCATAATCAGTAAAACTCCTAACCTCCTTAATAATCTTAATCTTCGCCCCGGCCTCGAACCCGGCTTCCAACTTCAAATCAAACACAGTCTTCTCCTTCTTCTCCTCCTCCACCGGCGCCGCCGCAGCACCGCCTCCAGCGCCACCCATTCCTCGGAGACTGAACCCCATTCCCGGCATCATCAACGAAACAATCGGCAAATCTTTCACCTCCAATTTCTTCCCAAGCAAACTCGTCAAGTCTGCCACTTCTAGCAATGTCAAATTCGAGATTTCGTTGGCGATTGAGGTGATCTTCGCCGCCGGTAGCGGTGGTTTTGGGGCCGATTCGGTAGCTGGAGTGGTGCTGTAATTGCGCGAGGAGATTGCATTTGATGATTGGATAAACCCTAGAAAATCGAGATTAGGGTTTTGGCGAAGAGTTGAGAACTTGGGTGAAATGAATCGTAAATACTTCATTTTTGAGAACGAGTTGAGAAAAATAGTGTTCAGAGTTGGGAGGAGAGATTAAAAGATTGATAAACCCTTCGATTCGATTTTTCTTTTTTTTTTTAACCATGGTATTCCGTGTATGGTTTGCGAGAACGTTGACCCGTCTTTGACCATTATTATCTTTGATTACGTATTGATGAAAATTATCGAGTACAACAAAATTAGTGTACACTGTATAAAACAATGCATATTGTAATTAATTAGTTGTTATAAAATAACGAGAAAGAAAGAATAGTAGAATACAAGTGGAAGATGTAGATGTTAATCTTAGTTCATTTCTTCATTAGGCAATGCCTATATATATACACTTGAGGAAATAGTAACTCTCCAAAAGCAATGAAGAGTCATAATAATGAAGAGTTACAAAGGGAAACAATAAAGCTAAAAGGAGTTACAAGAGGTTACTTAGAAAAGTAATAATGCTTAGGAGGTTACAATGGTTTACATAATGGACATACATTATTATATTTCATAACATTAGTGTATATTTGCAAAATGAAAAAAGTAGGTAGAATTTGATAGTATTTGCTTTTGATGATCATTGTCTTTATTTTATGGAGTTTTTCATGTGAATTGAAGTTTGTATATTAGGCAAATTATACACTTTTTAATGGGTCTGAATACTATGATAACTTGCAAGAAAATATCATTGAGACGGGACAATTACCTAATGTTAACAAAGCTTTGTTTCTCGTGTGAATAAAAAAAAAACCCTAATGTTAACAGACTCATGCTATACATCATATAATGTTGTTAGTATAAGTAATTTTACAGGTATCATCTCTTATCCACCTCTAATGTTTGTGCATGTGTCTATAAATGCTTGATAAAAAATTAAAAATTTCTAATTATGGGTTTAGGAGCCTTTGATCATATGGCTAGTGATATAAGATTAATTTTTGAGGTGAGAAATATCAAGAAGCATGGAAGAGTTGGAATATGATATGGTACAATATGAGAAGTGTACAAGAAATTACAAATATGAAGTTGAATCCTCACCTAACTCTTAGAATAAATTGATGGAACAAACAAAATTGAAAGTAATCAATATTGTTTAAGACCATAGTAACTAATGTATCCACCCAAAATCCCCACACAACCTCGCATGCCCCGATCCTTTTGCGAAGTGCTCTCTCAAACCTTTCCTGCTCCCTTTTCTCAATCTTTGACCGTTAACGGCTAGTAGACAAGGCTTTGACGCAAATTTGAAAGGGATTCTCGATTGTTTGAAGTTGCTAAGGAAATATATCAACACCATGAATATGAAATTAACTTAAGCGTACATTTAAGCAAAGATGGTGTTTTCAAAAGTCTCCTTCTACTAAGCTCCCATATTGAACTTAACAAGGTACATGCACGTGATACTCAATAATAATCCTTCACCTTCTGGTATAATACCTTATACTTACTAAAGGAGGGCAAATGGTGGATAAAATTCGAAATCCCATCACATATCTTGCAAGCAAGTTCAATCTCTTACCCTTTTACTCCTTGATGGTTGTAACATGATCCTCCTTTCACCTACTTTCATTCTTTTGCTCAATTGAAGAATTGATCCTCCAAGAAGCCATCCTTATATCAATCACATTCTTATAGGCATATGTTCTAGCTTGTTATTGATAATTTGAATATAACATTGGCAACAAAGCTCGTTATTATCAACCCGCAACACTATTATTTAAATATATGACCAAAAGAGTATTAAGATTATGACTACTCTTTCTTAGAGCACCCACAATGAGGACTAAAATCCTCATCCTCAATATTTTTGTATGAATTTAAAGGATGAGGGTTCTTGTGGAAGTTTTCATAATGTTCCCCAATTAAGGAGGATGAAGGTGCATCCTTTAAAGATGGAGGATGAAGGAGCATTGGCTGAAGAGCCAAAATTTGGGTGGGTGACACGTGGATAGAGATTGCATATTTTTTAAAAAAAAAAACATCGACATGCACCAATTATTGTTAAGACACATGACAATGCTTTTTTAGCTCAATTTGTTTATGCATCTATAAAAAGTAGGAGAGAGAAAATAAGGATGAGAAAGAAGATCCTTAACTGATTGTGGGGGAAAATAGAAGATGAAAAATAGTTAAAGGATGAAGGTAATGGAAAGTGTGGTATATAAAATAGAAAGTGAGGTATCAAAAGAAAAATAAAAGATAGAGTAAAATTAATTAATTTGCAACAAAATATTGTCTATCTACAAGGTTGTGGTTGCTAAATATATCCTGAAATTAATCGATCCAATCTTCATTTCCTTGAACTTGATACAATTGTATTACTAGATCCTCGATAATGCCAAGGATACTGAAAGATTTGGGGAATATTTTCCTTGGCTTTCTCATTGCTATTGACAGTAAATATGTACAAGAGATTAGCACTATCCTAGGCTACAAACTAGGAAACTAATTACATCAAAACCGTGTAACAGTAGTGTCAAATAATATAAACTCCTTGATTAGAGTGATTTTCATTGATCAATATTTATAGGGTTACAATGAGAAACCTAATCATATTAGGTAACTATAAGATATGTACAGATATCAAAGATAATCTTATACAAAATATATCCTAAACTTAGGATAAGAATATTCTATGGATATTCTCTATCACACCCCCGCAGTCGGAGCGGGAGAAAATCGGATGCTCAGATTGGATCTGAATCACGCATCGAACGGTAAGGATAGTATAGTAACCCATGATCAAAAGAGAAGTAGTAGACGTGTGCTGGTGATGACGATGAGAAGCAACAACCACGACCTACGTATAGTAGAGATATGCGCTTTTAGGCCGAAGGAGAAGAGTCACGCATATACTTGGGCTAAGTTGCAGATTCAAAGAAGAAGAAGCTAAGGGATCAGACCATCATCGGGGAGAAGACACTACACTACTAAGTGAAATCACAATTGAAGAAAAACAAATAAAATTGCGCAAGAAAAGATTAAATCCCACCGCTTGAAATTAATCAATTCTCAAAAGAGAAACCAGGTAGCAAGAAGTAATACTCCACAAAGATTCCAAGTGCTGCAACAATAAAAGGAGCTAACTTGATAGCAAAAGAGATGTGCAAAAGTTGACCTTATTGTGATATACCACCACCAAAACAAAATCTATGTGATTATGTGTTTAAAAAAAACAATGAGGCAATGTAAAAATCATTGTTGGTCATGGGGAGGTGGAAATAGAGTACAGCACATGGAGTAAGTTGGCAAGTGTGGTTACTGCCAGTAGTGGGAGGCGGTAGTGTATGCGATTGCCAACAATGATGGAGGAGGCTTTCGCGATTGCTACTGTTGGTGGGAGGCGCAAGGTTACATAAAGATTCTAAAAAAAACTTTGAGAAAAGAAAAAAAAAATATGTGTGTTTGCGGAAGCATAAAAAACTTTGTATATCCCGCCGGTGGGTTTAATTTTCTAACCCACTGGCGGGGTGAGAATTTTTGTATATAATCCCAAGATCTAACCTAAACTGTGATACCATGTCAGATAATATAAACTCCTTGATTAGAGTGATTTCCATTGATCAATATTTATAGGGTTACAATGAGAAACCTAATCATATTAGGTAACTATAAGATATGTATAGATATCAAAGATAATCTTATACAAAATATATCCTAAACTTAGGATAAGAATATTATATGGATATTCTCTATCAAGTACAAATATATACAATATATTTAACACACCCCCACAGTCGAAGCGGGAGGGCGAAGGACGCTAAGACTGTTCCGAAATTCCTCAAATAAAACCCGCGGAAGACCTTTAGTGAAGATATCCGCGATCTGATATCGTGAAGGCACATGTAGTACTCGAACTTCCCCTCGTGCAACCTTCTCTCGAACAAAATGAATATCCAGTTTTATGTGTTTTGTTCGTTGATGTTGAACTGGATTTCCTGACAAATAAATAGCACTAAATTTGTCACAATAAACAAGAGTAGCCTTTTTAATCGGACAATGTAACTCCAAGAGAAGATTCCGAATCCAGCATGACTCGGAGACAACATTCGCCACCCCACGATATTCGGCCTCTGCACTAGACTTGGACAATGTGGGTTGGCGTTTAGATGACCAAGATATGAGATTATCTCCCAAGAAAACACAATAACCAGACGTTGAACGTCTTGTATCAGGGCATCCACCCCAATCTACATCAGTATATGCAACCAGAGAAGAAATGGAGGATGGATATAAATGTAGTCCAAAATCAAGAGTGCCCTGTACATACCGAATAATCCGTTTGAGAGCAGACATATGATCAACCCTCGGGTCATGCATATGAAGACAAACCTGCTGAACGGCATAAGAAATATCCGGCCTGGTGAATTTAAGATATTGTAGAGCCCCCACAAGGCTCCTATACAGAGTCGGGTCATCAAAATTAGCACTAGTAGTAGCGCCAACTTTTGGCTTTGTGTCAACCGGAGTCTGAGACGGTTTACACGATGACATCCCTGCACGGTCAATTATTTCCTCGGCATATTTACGCTGTGAGAGAAACAAATCACCCTTATGTTTAGACACAACAATACCCAAAAAATAATTCAGAGGACCAAGGTCCTTCATGGAAAACTCAGAGTTAAGACGAGCCATGATAGAACATCGGAGAGCATCCGAAGAAGCTGTCAAAATAATATCATCAACATACAATAAAAGATAAGCCATGTCGGACCCATTACGATAGATCAATAAAGAATTATCCATCATGTTGTTAGTAAAACCAAGAGACAACATATAATCAGCAAATCGCTTGTACCAAGCCCGGGGCGCCTGCTTAAGTTCATAAAGAGACTTACTCAAGAGAGGTAAACATAATCCAGATGAGTCCGATCTCTGTATACAACAGGTTGATGCATATAGACAGTTTCCTGCAGCTCACCATGTAAGAAAGCATTTTTAACATCCAACTGATGAATAGACCATGCTTTTGACAATGAAAGACTAAGAATAGTGCGGATCGTAGCTGGTTTGACAACCGGACTAAATGTGTAACACCCCAATAATTCTCCCTTTTCCAAACCACTCACTTTAAATAAAAATAGAGGAGAACCATTGGCATGTTACCGCCACGTGTTAAAACGTTAAGGCTTTATCAAAGTATTGCAGCGGAAATCCAACTTAAATATTAAAATAATATAATTTAGAAACCCAATTAGTCAAAGCTTACAAATTGGAACCATAAAGGCCCTTATTTAAAACCAAACCAATAATCAGAGTCCCAAAACATAATTAAAGTAGTAAAACATAAATAAGTTCAACACAAAGAACGAATACTATCAATCACACCAATCCCTTGAAAATGCGTATGTCAAATCACCGAACTTCACATCATCAAGCTAACCTGTGCAATACTACTCCCCAATAATACAAGTGTAATAATTGGATCATCACAGGGTCATTGAAAGGCGAAGGCCATGACCAAAAGAAAACACACAAAAGCACGCAATCAGCAAAGCTGAGTACATACAAGCTACAACGCACAAAACCTAGCATGCTCAATTAATTAAAATAAATAAACATATAACACAAATTAATTAATTAATTAATTAAGACACCACACTTAAACAATTCAGTTGACTTAACATACTTCTGACCATTTCCAAACACTCGACTCTTTATATTTAATATAATTAATTTAGTTTGGAGTAAGCAATAGACGAGGTTGTCCAATCCACCAAATTATTTTGGTCCCAAATGACCATTTAAAATAAAAGTTTAGCGCGATGCAAGAATGGGCGCGACTCCATTCTCACAAAGTTAGTCTAGGATCCCATCTAACTTTCATTATGGGCCTTTGTATGTGACTATGGTAAAGCCTCTGAGTGCTCACTTTTTTTGGTGCCTCGTAGCGACCAACCACAATTCTTCTTGCACCGCAGATGAAGGACCTTCTCATTCGAGGTCACTGTGGTGTAGAATTGGTTCCTTTGTATAGAATACTTCTTCACCATTTCCTGAAGCAGTTTCTTAGATTCAAAGAACATTCCCTTCTCAAACTCCCCCCCGATCACAAATGTTGTATGACTACCTGATTCGGCCCAATATTGATCAACCACATAATTCTCATTTACTTGACTTAACCAAGGAATAGGAGTTCTAACCATGGCCTCCCCACCTTCCATGTCTGTAGAATCAACATCCATGTTATCCAGAATTGGTTCCTCCTCTTCGCTCTCAGCCTCATCATTTGTTTCCCGGAGCGCATCATACAGAGACAACTCGTTATTCACCATATGTTGTAGATTTTCAAGATGATTCACCAATGGTTGAGACGGTGATGTATGATCATCATGCTGCGTAGGTGAATAACTTTGGAGTTGCATGGGAGAAGATATAACTGTGTTCGATGTCGAAGGCCCAGATTGGCCAAACATTGTCGCAGATGTTCCACCATATACAGGTGAAGCTATATGTGAACTCAACGGCATCTAGAATCGATCGTCATGAAGCAGTCTGCTGAAGGACCCCATCCCATATTCAGTTGATGGAATGTCTTGTGAGGGCATTCGGAAGGACTCTGTGTAACCGGAAAAATAGGTAGCTTGTTGATCTGGTCGAGTACTTTGTTGCGTACACGTAGACACTATTTCTACATATATCTCATGTGGATAACCCCTCATTAAAACAGCGCTCCTCAAAGCTTTCAAATGTCTATCGTTAGAACAAGGTAACACTTGAACCGCATTATTAGTCTCAAACCTCATTTGAATGTTAAGTTGTACATTCATTGGGTTTAAGCCAATAATGCTATGAACCTCGTTCATCAGATCGTTGAAAGTCATGTCCGGTCCAAGTGGCAATGGTTCCATATTTCCACCACTATACTGGACATTTGGTCCATCAGACACAAATTCACCCCCCCATCGGCATAACAAAGCTGCGTTTTGTGCAGCCATATTCTATACAACAACCAAAAACACATCTTAATTGCATGCAATCTCCACCAATTCGCACAAAAACAACCAAGATATTCACACTATAAACATAATTAACCAACATTGTTCCAATTCACATTACAACCACAACAAAGTACACAACGAACATATTCACACTATAACAACCAATATATTCTACATAACAAAATTTTCGTAATTAAACAACAATGTAGGCTACTTTATCAAACTAAAACAACAATTTCATCAACATTATCAACAATTTCATCAACATTTTCAACAATTTTATCAAACATTTCCACAATTTCATCATAAACTTTCTTACTAAACTAACATCAATTTAGGGCTTTTATACTAGACAATTATCAAATTACAACAAACCAACTTAGAATTATCAACATAATTGTCAATTTACATCAAACTAACTTAGAATAAACAAAAACATTATCAAATTAAAACAATGTAGTATATAATTATCAAACTAACCTAGGTTTTTAAATTTTAAAAACAAATAAGTGAGAAGTACTAATAATGTGATTATAAAGAAGAGGAGAGGCACGGCGGCAGCAGGCAATAGGCGGCGGCGACGGCGGCAGGCAGCAGGCGGCGGCGGCGACGGCAGAGCTTTGAGGAAGATAGGCTATTGCGTGAGGAAGAGTGAGTTTGAGTTTTTAGTTTTGAGGAAGAGTGAGTGCGCGAAAAATATACCAGGCAAAACCGCTGACTCAGTCAGCGTTTTAAGGACAAAAACGCTGACTGAGACAGCGTTTTTATGTATTTCCATATTTTTTTAAAAAAAAATTTGTATTTCACTAAATAAGAAATTTTTTAAAAAATAATAACAGAGGTAAAACGCTGACCGAGGCAGCGTTTTACCTCAGAAGCTCAATTCCGTAAATAGTTTGGCCACGCGTCTATATTCGTAAATAGTTTGCTAATAGGGCTCAGTTTCGTAAAAAATCCACTAATAATAAGTTGCAAGGACAACATTATAGTACAAAATAGTTTAGTTCTCTTACAAAGAAAAAATTGCTAAATATGCCATTGATACTCAAGAAGGAATGGAGCCAAAAACAGGCCCCATGGGATATAAAGCCCCGGGCCATCGGCCATGGGCCACTGATCAACAATGTGGATCACTCGATCCACAAACAATAACTTCACAGCAATAAATAACAGATAAGTATATTTAACATTGCAGCAAATTTTTCCATCTTTTAGACTGGTGATGGAAATGATTTGCTGCTAAATGGGAGACTAGGTGCTTGTAAGGTGATCACGTTCTTTTTGAGCCCAGAATAAGCAGCAAACCCTTCTGAAACAAAGTTGATCATTCATCAGGTGCCGCGCTAGACTTGTTCGCAGATTTCTTTCTCATGGTCCAGAATGCTGCGAAATACCGGTTCTGCCCAAATTCAAGTATAAGATTAGTTTACTCAAATAGTCTCCATACATTTGTGCCCCTACACGATCCACAATTCCACAGTAATGAAATGCACCAAATGTATCCCTTGAGGAGTCGAAAGTATACAACTTTTTTTTTTTAAAAAAAAGGAGGTATATTTAGATTTGGATAAAGGGATTAGTGACATTGCACCGACAGTTTCCTAACTGCTAGACAAATAGCCGGACTTTATACATATCACACTATAAATGTTACCTGCATCATAGACCGAGCATTTGTTGTATATGTCGTCGAGATAGTACTTTCCTTCTGTACATTCAAACAAGGAAATAATGTTACTAGATATTGACTGAGAAAAAATAGGAAAGGAGAACTTTTTTTAAGCTAACCTCTAAAGTAAATCCATAGTGAAAAGCCACCTTCTTCACGTCTTCTAAACTTAATTCTATGGACATCTCCTGGAGAAGGGGCGAAAAATTGGGGAGATAGTGATTTATTTACGCATATTGACAACTATATATGCATGGGAGACAGGTGCATATCAAAACAAGTTTAGAATGTCAAGCTTACGTTTTGCCCATATGTATCCGCAAAATGATAAAGCAGCGGTCCAAGATTAATCCACACCTATTTCAGCATCAACTCAATCACATGTGTTGAATAAGAAATATGAAATAAAATGACAAAGGAAAATAGCTGGAGCCTCACCCCTCCATCTTTGAGGATTTTCCATATTATTTCAATGTACTCTACAATGTTATGAGCTGTGTCAATGAAAAAGCACGTAACTACAGCATCCCAGATTCCTGCAAACAAAAGCAAGCATTCAAGAGTCGTAATATAGGATATAACATATACGATATTACCAAAACGTTACATGTCACATGGCTTAGTTTCTCAACCTCAATTCAACTTTTTTCTTTTTTTCCGGTGAAACAACCTTAATTCAACTTGAGCTTAAATGTCACATGGCTTAGTTTCTCAACCTCAATTCAACTTTTTTTCTTTTTTTCCGGTGAAATAACCTTAATTCAACTTGAGCTTAAGAACTTCCATCCGTCCCTAAAAGACTTCCCCATTTCCCTCTTTTTACTCAAGAGTTGTGTTGAATTTATGCCTCTTACCAAAGTAGTTGTTGTGTCTATGTTGTCTAGTAAAGCGAAAATGAAGCTTTGTACAAGCAAAGAGTGCCTACTGTGGGGTTTGTTGCTGAGTATTTCAAGTAAACGATACAAGGAGTTGGGAGTACTATTCCCAAGAAAACTTCCAAGAAATGAATAATATGATTAGACAATTCATAATCTGACAGTATGTATTTGGCATGATGAATAATGATAATTAGTGCTAGCATAAGGGTCAATCAATTTTTTGGGAAGTATGGCAAACTTCCAGGGGTTGAAGACCTGTTGTAACTTTGTATTTGGATTGGCACTCCCCTACGTTTAGGTTTGGGCTTGGCCTGAGAAAAAATCCTGAGTCTAGCTCGTAAAACGCCCAGCCTTTGGTTAAGGTGTTTTCCGGTAATAAGGGTTATTCTTCAGAGTTCAGCTCATAGAACACCCAACCTTTGCCAGGAAATTTAAAACACAGCTCATAACATTGTAGAGTACGATGTACCCAACCTTTGCTGTGTCAACCATGTTATATTAACACTTTGAAGGTTTATATAGTTTCTTATTAAACATACATATGGATCAAAGATAATGGTCAAAATTGACAAGGTTTGTACCTAAAAACACAAATATGACCAATAATTTAAGAAGTAAAAGAGTATTTCAATTACCTTCTTGACCTGGATCACTATACACTTCAACAAAGTCCCCGCCACACATGGAAAAACCTTCCGTTATTCCTACGCTGTTTACTCAAAAGTCAAGCACAACATTTGAACCAAAAATAGACGCAAAATAGATAACTTTTCTGCATAAAATCAGGTCAATAACAAGATTACAAATCTCCAAAACTTTTCAGTGGAACAATTTGTTAAGAACTGGCATATTAAATATGATGAAAAAGGAATGAACATGGTAATATTGACTGATAGATTTGTAATTTTAAACATTACCTAGCAGGAAGAATGTCGGGAATAGAAACAGGACGAAGTTGGTCCTCGTCTGAAATCGAATTGCAATTGCTATGGATCCAAGGGTATATAGTCCATTCACCAACAGATTGAGAGCTGAAATGAAGGCCACACATAATATAAGTGTAATTAAATGTAAACCTGTGCCAAAGAAGCTGGAACAAACAATTGAAATTACAATGGAAACTTACTGGTTGAGAATAAAGCTGGAGCATATCATCATATAGTATGAAAATTCATTACCCTGGCATACAAAGCCTGTTACACATTCATCCAATCATGTCAGTGACAACTTTACATATTACAAATTTGAGGAACTATAGAACTTCTACAGACCAAGACGTGAAATGTCCAATGCCAATCTCCCAAGTCCAGCACCAGGTACCAGGCAGCAAGGAGGACTGTAAGCAGACCGGTAATTAGGAAAAAGATTAATGCCAAATACAACAAACAAATATGTTTGAACGTAGAATATGCAAAACCTAGCAATTCTACTTATAACGAAGGCCATACGAATTAAATGTACTACCTCCATTTTTATTATTTGAAACTTTGGAATATTTTATATCTCACAAATAATACCCCAAAGTTGCAAATAATAAAATCGAAGGTAGTATAAAAAGTTGCACCTCATCAGCAAAAAATAGCTCAAGCTGTAAGGTATCTTACCTTTCCTTACTGCGCTTGGGAAACAATCTCTCAAGCTCCTCAAGAATGGGCAGATAGCATTGATCACGCTCCACTTGCCCCTGTTACACATGACAGGTTAGTATGCAGAGGGAAGCATCCACGGAAAAGACAATGGAAGAATCAAGAAAGGAAAACATACCTCTGCTCCCCAATCTCTAACTATATTTCTTATGACGCAGCGAACCTTTAAGAAAAAAAAGAAGTGAAATGATATTCATAAGAAATACAAGTAGCTTAATGAACTTAAAAGTAATCTCCAGATAATTATAATAGGAATTAGTAGGGCGGGAAGACTGCAATATAATAATGATATAACCCGCATAAGAAAAAGTAAAAGTACAAAAAATGGGGAAAGAAATTAACATCAAAACAATATCCAGTAGCAACAGAATTCCGCTAGAAAGATTCAATTCACCGAAGGCCCAGCAAAAAGGAAGGCAATCTTATTTGCAGCCTTCAACCAAACCAGTAAGCCAGGGCCCAGGAGAAAGCTAAGTTTTGACCATGTGGATGAGCTACAGTCTATAAACTTCATCTTACACCCAATCCCTCAAGCACAACACAAGTATCACACATATTTTCTTTAATAGGAGCTATTTCAACATAAAAGCAAACTACTACTCACAGTTTGGTATTCTGCCAACTCACTTATCTTTCAGAGTTAGATATGTAGCCTACATTTACATACATCAGATGCAATATTCAATAGCGCAAACCTACATCAAGCCTTTACAAAAATCAATTCTCAATTGCATGATTACGCAAATCACCCAAACCAAACAATTAGGGTTATGAGCACAAATTTATGATCTAAACCCCAAATATCACCAAACTCGAACAACACCAGGAAATTGAGTAAACTCAAGTTGGGTTTCACCCATCAGGTTTAGAGCCCATAGAGGCCATCAAATAAAGGCCAACATGACCCTTATGTGTGTTTTAGATCCTCCCTAATACCCCGCAACACCTTCCCATTTCTCTCGCTAATAATGCTTATCACTCCTACAGGAATCACTGATAAGATTTCATTAGAGCAAATGGGCTTCATAAAAACTAGGTGTTAATTTAGAGTCGAATCTAAAATAAACAATTTGATCAAATGGAACAAACATTATACCAATTTAGAATCGCAGGTTGGGAGAATAACCATCTCACCTACTCACATATCACAAAATTGAGTATAATTCTCAATCACACGTAAATAAATTAATTTCCTAAAGTCATTTCTTAAGGAAATAAAGAATCCCAAAGGATGAGGATGTAGATTGTAGAAAATAAACATGCTCCTTCAGCTTCAAAATATATTTTTTCATTTGCTGAATTAAAAAGATTGGTTGTTTTCTAATTAATTATAACATAATTTTAAATTTCAATAAACTTTTCACTTACATCATAATTTTTATAAGCAAATTAGTTAGAATAACTCAAGGTTTCATTCTATATGCATTCATAAAACCAGACAAATTTGGATAAAAGCAAATTCCAGATTTGATATGGGACAACCATCAAGGTGTTAAATTTGCAATTTTGTATGCAAGGACAGGATCCTACAAATGGATCAATTGGTGGTTCTAGCTATAACTCATTTGATAACCAAAAAGAGAAAATGGTCAGTTAGGTTGCAATATGATTGCTTGTCGCTTTGACGCCAACCAAAAGTAGATGGGAGGAACGGCCTTTTAGAATGGTCCTCAAAAGTTTAATCGCTATTTTTGCTTCATAAATCCTAAGACATATCAGAATACAGTATATTGTCTAAAGACAAAAACAAACATTTTGCTTCTACTAACAAGGTTCACAACCATCTGGCATCAATATAATGAATTTAACTAATAAAAATACCTTGTCAACATCAACTAGTGGCACATTCAATTGCAACGATGAATTCAACCAATCACAAGAAGATGACGATGCCTGCAGAAAATTGTAGCAATTGTCACCAACATATAAGCAACACAGAAATGCAAATAGCAGAATGGTTAGCCTGCAAGAGAGCAGCTTCGAAACAATATCCAGCTTATCAACAAATGTAGTAGAAAAAGCTGGCCTTACAACTGTTGCAAGGGACCTTTTTAAAGTAAACAGAGAAAAGTCCAATATCGAAACCGAGAGAGAGATAATGAGCATATTTCTAATACATATGTGCTATGCCTGCAAGGGGAAGTAGTGACCATCTCCTTCCTGCATACCCTTCTCTTAGCATGCTGAGCAACCCCTTCAAAATTCAAATGGACCCCATTTCTCGACACACCTTGAGCAGCTTGGTTGCAGTTAGAGGACATTCAGTCAGTCCTTTGTTGATTCCACCAAAATTCCAGAGGTTTTCAGTAGGAAAACACAGACGCAGATAGGGAAAAAGGTTCCATGAAGATGTGATCCTATTGTCATCCCAGGGTATATTCCACAAAAGCTGAAGCTTAAGTTCTTAAAAATAAAATTCTCAGACATTTAAGTTGTTTCTGGGGTTTTTGTATGCTATATTGGTCTGTATTAAATTCACTTTGGATTACGTTTCAAGAACTGTATACGACACACTCAGCAATGCTGGAATATATTATTATACAAGTTAATCTGACTTTATGTTTAATTATCTAAGAGCATCTTTGTTCTTGTGTTTCTCTTGTTCTATAAGGTTCTCCTTTTCTCTCCAGAAAAGAAAGACAATAATAGACTCACTGACAGTCGCATGTTCTTTCCTCTCCTATCCAAGACTAAATAATGAAATTGAGAAACGAAAAGGTTAAGCCTTGAACATTTAACTTAGAGAGAATGCAGACAGTGTGCCAGAAGAAGGAATAAAACACATGAAAGTGCAGCTACAGTCGCCTCTGCAGACACAGCATTATACCAGCCCACTATGTTTCAACACTTGTATACTAGGGATTTTTTTTTATTTTTTTTGGTTCAAACAAGCGTCATCACCTTCGAAAATAAATTTTGGATTTTTGAATGTGATTTTGTTTTTTATGTTCCTGACACCTGTCAGATTGAATGGGACTGAAGATCCAACCAGTCGTTGAGCCGCAGAACAGGCCACAATGCAAGACTAACATATAGTCAAGTAAACCAAAGAGTGAAGATCAATGCCAGGAGATATTGCCAGGAATGAGAAAAAAAAAAAAAAGTCAAGGAAACCATGGAAAAATTTGTATGTTGCGGATTTGGTTTCAATACGAAAGAGAAAGCGCAACTTAAAAGCTGCAAAACTCAGCTAGCCTAGCTCTTGGACATGGTTTTAACCCTCGTAAATGATGGTGCTTTACAAGTTGTGATGATAGTAGCTACAAGGAGTTTATATCACCCACCATATATACAAACAATTTGCAGATAAATGAAAAGAATAAATACTACACATAAAATGACAGGGAAAATAGGAATGCAATGGAGAGGCTTGCTACCTTTTTATCACAAGGAAGACTTGACCGAGATTTCAAAGAGGTGACAAGAATAATAAGATAAACAACTTGAATAAATGTTCAAAATATAAAAAACATATACATTATATAGACAGTAATTGGGTAAACTTACATTGCCATTTGATTCAACCGATTTAAGTTGTCCTTCGGTTTCCTGACCACCAATGGCATTTGTAGCGACATCAGTATCTGTGGTTCCTCTTGCTGATGGCATGTGATCATTTTCTGTATTACAAACTGCCGGGTCTTTTGCTGATCTCGCCATTCCAGTCGAGCTGTGATGACTGTCCAAGGAACTCCCATCATGACGATGATGGTGCTCATCTGGGCAACATTCAAGATGCTGATCTTCACAATTATCTACATCCATGCTCATATCTAGTGGAGGCTCAAAGGCCTGCAATGAAGAAGTTACAATAGATCAGCACAATATCAACAACTTCAAAAGAGAATAGAAAGTGCTGAGACAAAATGAAGCAAAAAAGGAATAGGGGTGAATATGCACATTACCTGAAGCATGTTTAAAATAAAAAATGTATTCACCGATATACACCTGCAACAAGGCAAATAGATTTATAACTGATGCACAAGTGACGAAGTCTGAGAATATCATAAAGCAGATTACAAGAGCCACAAAAATGAAAAAATGACCACAGACACAACAGCATGGTAAGCTCCTGTAAAGGTGTCTGAATAACAATGCTGAAAAACTGAAATCTGGAAATGTTCTCAGCCATCTCGCTATAAACCCGAGGCATTTAATGCTCCCACTGTGAACATCATATGCAAGAACTAGATGACTAGTAATGTTAATAAGGGAAGCCAACTTGTGAGCTACTCCAAGCCCCAGTTAGTCAAGTAGAGTTAAACTTGAAGCTCAGTATCCTGTAGACTGGTGTATTTAAGAACATTTTCACACCTTCTCCTTTGGAATTACTTTTAACTTCTGGAAATCAAAGTTTTCTTACTCCAACCACCAATTAAAAATCAATACATAAACTAATATTAGTACTCCCACACAGAAGTATCCCCTCTGTCCCACATTACCCTTTACACTTCCATTTAGGAAAGGTCCCCAGAGATTTTATATCGCTCACTTATCACTACTAAAAAATAAGGGTCCCACACTCTCTTTCATTCAAATATAAAATACCCATCCTATCACATCTACAAGCTGGATAAAATGAAAATTAATACATAAATAACAACTAATCGCCTAGAGCTATGTGCCATGATCAATTCCGAGACCTTGACTGTCTGGAATAGGAGGAAAGCTTTTAAGATTTTGGTCCTCTTATCCTCTAGCTTGTTATTTTCAGATTGTTTACAGAACACCAGTGTGCTGAAGAATAAGGTGAGCCAAAGCTCATGAGCTGAGCCATATCAATCAAGTAGAATTTAAGGAATATTCTGACTCAGTGAGCTTTGAAAAGTGGTTTTAATTGACCTCAGCGATACTCAAGATTAAATCAAATCAATAACACCAGCAAACCCTGTCTTTGGGATGAAAATATTTCCCGACCAGTATACATTGTGTACACGAACAACTTTTAAGAGCAGCCTTAAAGAAAAGCTGCAGATTTACAAACTCAAAGCAATTACATATAGATTCAAAAACCTTATAAAATAAAGACATAACAAGAAATTTTGCCAAAGTTTCCCCAGACCACAAAATCAGTCTATAAGTTAATTGCATTCAGCTAAAAGAAAGCTAGTTGATACATGGTGGAAAAATCTTTCTTCTTTTCCAGACAAAGAGATATGGGGTGAACAAAAGTAGATTCCAAGCATAAATTTTACTAATGCTTTGGAAATATAAGAAAACATAAAATCATGACTACCAAAATCCTCAAACGCTAGAGCAGCTACTTGTCTTAATGCATTTGGATGCTGGAAGAAGATGATCATCATTACCTTCTCAAACTCTGGAATTTCGATGGCAAGTGCAAAAGAAGAGTCTGTAAAAAAGTATTAAATATTGGCGAGGTTAGAATCGGTTAAATTTTAAAATTTCAATGATCATAAATTACTCTTTTCATATTGTACTCCCTCCATTCCAAATTGTCGATTGAATTTATGCATTGGCAAACGTGATAAAAGAAATGAATCACCTAATTTGGAACAGGGGAAGTATTAGATACCTTTTTTACAGAAAACAATTGTTTTATACCTTTTGATAGTGACTGAAAAAAGTAGTAAGAATAAACTATCATCACTTACTCACATTGCACCCAAAAAAAATCACTTACTACTCACAAAAGATGTCAAAAGAACACAGCTAAGTTGATTCAACACTTCTGTAGGAAGGGATAGGGGATTGTCACATATCAAAAGTCCCAATCATAATAATACTAGTCACATCTAGAGTTGACTTCACAATAATCACTAGAATGTTCACATATCAAAAGTCTATAAACAGAATAACTTCTTGACAGATGTTTACACATATGTTTGCAAATGATTTTAATAACCACTTATGCTAGTTCATAAAAGATTCACACTTTTTTTGTAGGTAGGGATTGAGTGGTATATCGTATACTTACTATACTATATAACAAATTAACAGCCCAAATTAGCGTGAATTTGGACTCAAATATCAATCAATCATCTCAACTTTAGCAAAGACACATTTTAGATTTTCTCCTTACAAATTAATGGGTTCTTTTAGCATGAAGCCTCAAACGAAGTGATTTTTGGACTCCATGTCCAAGAAATCTCTGTAAGCTTTAGGTTAGTCAAACAGCACTTGTTCATGCTAGCATGACAAATTACTATCAGTTGGCTTTGTCTAATTAGTACCCCTAGTACTCCCTATTCCTCATAGAGTTCCAACAGGTGTGACAAAGAAGTTGTATACTCAATTGAAAGACTATGTTCCTACTCTTGTTAGACAAAGAATGGAAGGATAGTGCAATGACAGATCTTCCTGGGGGAGAGCTAGCCCTGGCCACTCGTACAAACCTAGAAGTTTTAGTAGCAAGGCAGAAGGCCCAAGCCAATAAAATCTATGTGATTCAGCACTGATTTGCTGATCCAACCACGAGGCCCACTACCTAACTACTTGTCATATTTGTCAAGAAATTGAGAAGTGCCCTAACCCAGCACAAGGCATTGCAGAGTAATTTTTCAGGTTGATATGTCTAGTTATAGACTTGTACAATGATTACCTGCCTTGGTTTATAAAAGTTTGCCCAGATTACAATTTTCAAGATCAAAGGGAAAACTTTGATCTAGTTCTGTTGCTATTTTTGACTCAAAACCATGAAAGTTTTCAAAATTGCAAAGGTGTGCCAACTTGGAGATCTTTGCAATTATTTCCATTGGCTAACTATTAAAATTCAGATTAGAGAAGATAGTTTTCAGTGAAGATGCACCAACCATGAACATAAGCCACTGGACAATCCAAATGATGAAGAATCTAATCTAAGGCCTACATTCTACAAGTGTTCTTTTGGGAATGTTAACGGGATAAAAAAACTGAAGGTGTACACATTTTTCGGAATTTGAAACCAAAGAATCTTACACAAATGACCTCAACATGAAAACCAGTACTTCAAAATCTCAGATGAGTAGAATACCTTATGTGCAGGTGAAAGCTTTCTAAAAGAACTTTCACATCGCTTAATGTCATCTTCAGCTGCATCTGGATAGCTGTGTAAAATGTCAGAAGTACACTAAGTTAATTCAGAAGCCGTTTTCAAATAAAACTGGGAGAAAAGAAGCACAACGAAGCCAACAAACAAAAGGCAAAGGAAGCCATAGACGAAGTTACCACTCTCTAGCAAACAAACAACCCAAGCCACACCACACGTAACTGATGTAACCCTAGTACAATGATATCAAGATCAGTAATTAAGTACACATTTGAGGATAAAGAATTGTAACTTTTCACCCTTTAATCAATTAAGCAATTCAATCATAAGTGCTTCTTCACCAAAACCATTGTACATCCCAAAAACCCACAAATTTAAAGATACCAATTAATCAAATATTTCCTACTTATAACCTCGTATTCAACATCCTCCTGCCTAATTAAATCCCAGAATTTGATCAATTATGAAGACTTGAAGAGACGTGTTTTTTACTTCTTCAACTGAAGACTTAAGTGCCTCAAGTTGCACCAATTAAAAATTTAACATTCACATCATCCAACCAAAACAGATCCTCCTTAGGTTCAACACCTTCATTAAAAGTGACATTTGGTTTAAGTTTCTGAAAGAGAAGGGTTTTCCCGTCGGTGAGTTCAATGCAAAAAAAAAATTTGCTTGTTTCCTTTCCCAAACGACAAAGTGGCAAATTTTAGTCCCCAAATGTCGAATTAGCTCTCAATTGCAACAATATACCAAATTAAGGACTTAAATTCATTGTGTTAATTTTTGGTGCATTGCTGAATTTGACATCATTGTAAAGCCAACACCAACATCATTCCAATGCCAACAATCAACGAGGCGGAAGTCCAATGTACTCAGTCACATCCCAATTATATGTAACAATTATATATGCCCCTATACCATTTTCAACAATTACAAAATAAAAACAGTAACAATGTGAAGACAGTTAAATCAAAATTCAAAAAAATCAAATCTTGTACAACTCCATTAAACATAAACACTTATCATTATTAGCCACCTTATATCATAACGATTTAGTGATTTACACAGTTAAAATAAAAAATAAATAAATAAAAAAAGGCAGTTACACTATTCTGCTTGCAAATAGTACTCCGTATCATATTTTCCAAAACATAATCTACACTCTAAATTACAAATACTCTTCAACAGAAATTAAAATCAACTCATTTAGCTGTAATATTATTGTAAAACGAAAATAATCAAAAGAAACATATATTATTAATTAGACAAGTAAATATATAACTAAATAAAAATAACAAATAATATCGAAAAAATGGTAATTCCAAAAAAAATACTTGATATAAGCGCTGATAATTCGACGGAGAGATTTGACTTCAAGAGCTTCTTCCAATTTTCGACGCCGAAGTTGCTGTTGTTCTTCATTCAATTCCATGTTTTCGACGTTTTTGGTGAATTTTGGATTGGATTTGATATTGAAGTTGGAAGAAAGGTTTTTGGTTGAGGTTTGTGCGGCGTTTTGCTGACTTGGCAATTTCTTTTTTCTTTTATAAAATCAAACATAAAAATATTTCAGAAAAAAGCCGACATACGGTAAACAATGAATAGTGAACTCACCTTCTTCTTCCCTTTTATGTTCCCGGTCACTTGTCTCTTGGAGTCTTGGTAGAGGAGTATGGAATACTGAATACTCTCTCTATTTTATACTTCCTCTATTCTTTTTTATTTGACTTATTTTTTTAAACACGTTTGCTAATATAAAATTTTAATGATTAACAACTTTTAATCTCCTCAAGTAAAAATTTTAAAGATTCTACATTATGGACGTACTTATTGAGACGAATTCAAAAGATCCTACATTAATATGTTTTTCATTACATATTCACAACAGATGATCAAAGGAGGGGTTATAAATAGTGTAAAATTTAAAGCAGGTTAAGCAAAAAAAGAATGGAGGAAGTACATATTAGAAATTGATACGTGTTAATTTTTTTTATTATTTGACATATGAAGTCGGTCCTGTTTCATTCACCTTAAAAAGATCATATTAAATAAAAATAATTTTAATTCAACAAATACAACTTCAATTCAGTATAAACTATTATAGCACCGTACGATGCACGGCTTACAAATCTTGATACACATATTCATTTCACAAAAATTTTAAAATAAAATGAATTAATGAGTAATAATGAATTTACTTATAAATATGTCTTAATCATATATTTTTAACCCTCAATATAATGATATCAACCTTTTTTATCTTTTCTTAATTGTACGGAAAGATTTGAAAAATAATTCAACTCAATGAACTAACAATCAATACCCACATTAAGTCATATTTTTCCCCCGTTTCAACTTGCGCCACTGGCTACCTCATTTTTAAATGGGAGGATTTTTCTGTGTGGCTAGTCACACCGTGTGACCGGGGTTACTCGGTCAAGGGTTACTCAAGTTACTTCTGACCGAGTAACCCCTTAAATAACCCCTGACCAAGTAACTCGTAACCCGGCCCTGATTAAATCCCTCGAGTAAACCCCTGGCCGAGTAACCCCTGGAGTAACCCATGACTAGGGATGGTAATGGATCTGGACCCGACCCGGATCCGTGGATCCAGATCCGTTTTTCACGGATTTGGGTCTTCAAATTTTGGACCCGACGAATCCGGGTCGAATCTGGGTCCTGCTGACAAAAACGGATCTGGATCCGTGGACCCATTTTTTTATTTTTCCTATTAAAAAAAAACTAAAATTGTTTGTTTCTTTAATAATAATGTTAGTAATGATAAAGATTAACCCTTTCAAGAGATCAATTTTGGATGCTCGTATTATATACATCATCATTGTTTTTTCACTAATCATATGTAACATCGTATTTTTTTTGTTGTTTTTAATTTTAATTCAAAATATGAGTGTATAAGTTGGTTAATTTGTGGTTGAACTTAATAACCAACAACGTAAGTTTGAAATAAATTTTTTGACCCGAAAATTACATTTTTTGCAAAAAAATTAGGCAAAATATATTGGACCCGGATCCGGGTCTTCATTTTCTAGACCCGACGGATCCGGGTCGGATCTGGATCCTACATACAAAAACGGATCTGGATCTGGGTCCATCCGGACCCGGTTCAGATCCGACCCATTTCCATCCCTACCCATGACCAAGTAACGCCTAACCGAATCCCTCAAGTAACCCATGACAATTGAGTAACCCCTGATGTGTCCAATTTATATAGTATTTTACCCCCGTCCCTTGGTCATAATTAGTAGTGTTTTTGGCTCTTTAGAGCCACTTTTATTACTAATTGGTGTTTTCTAGTGTTTTTGTAGTTTTGCTTGAGTTTTGTAGGAAATTGCACATTTGGAGCATTTTCTGGTTTTTCATGGAGCAACTACGAACATTAGGAGGACACGACCATCTTTGAAGCCCAGGACCGGTTAGAACCGGTGATTAAGGGCTCGGTGTGTGATACCGGGGCATTTGGACCAAGTATTCAAGACCCGAAGAGGAAATTCGAATTGGGCCGAAGAATCAAACCCAATCGAAGTCCAAGCCTCGAGGAAGAGACCGGGCCCGATCGGGCAAGCTTGCGCCCGATCGGGCGGGCGCGCAGAAGAAGGCATCTTGCAAGGTGCGCCTGATCGGGTGAGCATTAGCTCGATCGGGCACAGCTGCCCAAGAGAAGCTTGAAGAAAAAGGCGGGCCCGATCGGGCGGCTCTGTGCCCAATCGGGTGCGTGTTTTTGGAGGCACCTGATTGCCGAGTTTTTAGTTTTTAATTAGGATTGTTTTTAGAGTTGTTTAAGTACGATTTTAGTACGGAATTCTGTTTACCTTTTCTTTTAGACTTTCTCTATTCTCTAAAATTCTCTCAACTTTGTTCTTAATTCAACTCCTTAATTCAGATTACTTTTGGTAACGATTTCTTCTCTATTAATTTAAGTTATTTTCTTTAATTCTTTCATCATGTCTTATTTTATTGCTTTATTTAGTTTATATTTAATTATGTGTGAGTAGTTTTATTTCTAAGGTTTATGGGGATCCAATAAATAATATGAAGGGGTAATTTGTGATTGTTGATTGTCAATGCTTAATTATTTTCCTATTGATTGATTTAATGCTATGCAATTAGGTTTGGCCAGATTTAATTGTATGAATTTAGCAATATTGATTCGAGATTCGAGAGATGAGAATTGAAGTTTAGGCTTAGTTTCAATAGGCGGACTAATTTATAAATGGTTAAGTCGAGATTCGAGAGATGAGATTTAATACCGGTAAATTAACTTTGTGATTGTAATACGTAGCGAAAGCCCTTTATAATCTGATTAATTGATGCATTGATGATTGATTATTATGTTTTACCTTGGAATATTGTTTATTGGTGAACCTATATCCTAGGCTTTTCTTTCATTGATTTACCTCTTATTTTATTTCCTTCCTACTCTTACTTTTAGTAGTTTAATTACCCTTTTAATAATAATTTGGTTACTTGATAATTTAGATTGCTTTTAATTAATTAGGAATAAATTGACTTGTTTCCCTGTGGTTCGACCCTTCTTCCCTATCTACATAGTTAGTGGATTTAGGTTTTATATTTGATTAGGTGAATACGACTTGAGGCTGTCAACCCCTAACCGAACCCCTCAAGTAACCCCTAAATTAAACCCTAACAATGTAACCCAGGTAATCCATGACTGACTAACCCCCTTGAGAAACCCCTGATCGAGTAACCCCTTAAGTAACCCATGACCGAGTAACTAACCCCTGACCGAACCCCTCAAGTAAACCCTAACCGAGTAACTCATGTAACTCATGGCCGAGTAACCCCTGACCGATTAACCTTTTAAATAACACATGACCAAGTATTTAACTAACCCCTGGCCGAACCCCTCAAGTAACTTTTAACCGAACCTCTCAAGTAACTCCTGCCACACGGTGTGGCCAACGACATATAAAAATTTGCCTTTTTAAATGCAACACACCAATAATTCTCTCTTAAAACCTGTAAATACCCTGAATAAAATCCAAGAGAATTACTGGTGTGCTACCGCCACGTGTTCAAACGTTAAGGCTATATCAATTGTTAGCAACGGAAAAACTAAATCAAAAGCAATAAACAAAACCAAATTAAGTCTTACAACTTGGAACCATTAAGGCCCTTATTTAAAACTCAAACCAATAGAATAGTATGAAAGTAAAGTTAAGTTTAAATAACTTTAAAAGTAATTAACGATAAAAATAAGAAAAGCAATCAACACTCCACTCAAGATCCCACCATCTAGAAATGGATGCTGCATGTGTAAGAATCTGTGGTTAATCTGCTCCCCAATATTACAAGTGTAAAAATTGGATCGTCACAGGGTCATTGAAAGGCGAAGGCCATGACCAAAGAAAGACACACAGAGCATGCAATCAGCAAAGCTGAGTACATACAAGCTGCAAAACATAAAAGAAATCCCTAACATGCTACTAATAATCAAACATCACGCATCATTAGTTTATAGACTCGTCACATGACTCAACTATTTATATTACTAAAACTCCATTAATTAATAATAGGTAAATCATTATTTTATTCATTGGATTACGCAATAGACAAGGTTGTCCAACCCATGCTCCATTTAGAACATCAATAAAAGAAAAACCCCATGCCTCCTTTCGAAAACATCAATAAATATCCAACGACCACGGGCGCGACTCCGTAACCGTAGTTAGTATGAGATCTCACCTAACTCCTAGTTTTTTTTAAAAAATATTTGAAATAGGAGACTCGTAGATCAGACGGCCTCGAGAAAAGTGCACTGCTAATACCCCGTGTACCCCAACCCGTGATTGTCATTACTCCAGTTGTGCACCAATCCAGAGTTTTATTGCTCATCCATCTTGCACTTTACGTGATTTACAGGTTTAGACTTGGTGATGACTCATATGCATAACACTACAAACATTCCATTAACAATTCAATCAAGTAAGGCAAGTTTCCAATTTCAATTCTTGATTTATTAGTGACAAACAACATTTATTATTTATTCCCTTAACTACCTCGGTGTATAAACACCTTGAGTGCATAAGGCATCCCAAAACCTTAACCTCGTCTTATAAGACTTGAATTCTTCTTTTTCTCGTCCTGTTTGCATAATCATGAATGAGTAATAAATTAATCGTTACACCAATCACATACCTTTGCCTCTAAGCGCACCTTGCATAATTAGAGCACAAATAATACTTGCAATATAAAGTAGTGCACGTCATACGAAATTCACAATGTATAACCAAACAATTGAACCCAGTCATCCCTATACATGATACTAAGTTCTCGATCCGTCCTTAAACATGCACCTAAAAGCAAGGTTTCGTAACTTGTACGTACCTTGAATAATAAACAAATTGGTAAACCACTTTTCCAACTAAAAACACCTTCTATAAAGTCTTCTCCTAAACCAAACAACAAAATCTCAATCAATAATCAAATTTACAGCAATACTAACTTACTTTAAAACCTTCAAAATCCAAATCAAACAACACTTTAAAGTCTTCCCTTTAGTTAAAATTAAAGGCTTATATATAGTTCTTTAAATTTTAAGTTTAAAGTTTAA